TGCATCACAGGCGCAAGGTCCCAAGTTTGATCCCTGGTATTAAAAAAAAACCCAAAACCCAATGCTGTGTCCCGATTTACGAAGTCAGATTGCCTATCATCAAGAACACAAAAAGCAGGAAATGCTGGGGAGGTGTGGAGGAAAAAGAACCCTTCTATACCGTTGGTGGAATGTATCGGGGAAATCAGTACGGAAAGTCCTCAAAAAAAGAAAACTAGAAATTCCACTGGACTGAGCTATAACCCTCCTGGAAAAGTCTCGAGAGACTAAAAAACACCGAACCACAGTGATAAGTGCACACCCATGCTGACAGCACTGCAGTTCACAACAGCTAAGCACTGGAAACAGCCTAGGTGTCCCCCACCACATGAATGCATAACGAAAAATGGCACATCCACACAACTGATATCCCTCAGCCACAACGAAGGATGAAATTATGCCATTTGCAGGAAAATGAGTGGAATTTAAGACCATGTTAAGTGGAATAAGTCAGACACAAAAAATTAAATATTGTGTGGTTTCTCTTATAAGAAAACAAAACTTAAAATACAAACAAATAAATGGGTAAACCAAAGTAGAGATGATTGGAAACGAGAAGCCAGACTTTTGAAGATATGGAAGGGGACTGGGGGAAGAGGAGGTAGGGGTGAAGGGATTGAAAATTATCAAGGTATGTTATATACAAGTACCAGTTCCCTAAAACAAACACAACCATTGTATATGGCAAATATACACCAATAAAAATAGTAAAATTAATCTATGTCAAAAATAGCTCTGAGGAAAATAGAAAGCCACCTTTACAACACGGGAATAATAGTCGCTGCAGACAGTATCCACCCATGAACGTGTGAAAGGTCCAAACTCTAAGAACAAATAAGATGCTAACATAGCTCACTGATTTCTCCCTAAGTGTTTATTTATTGTAGTGGCTGTAACACATGTCCATAAATCCTTTAGCTCCTGCCTCACGCAGTGGAACTTCATTCCCTTCCCCATGGATGTGGACCACACTTAGCGATCCTCACCATCAAACAGGATAGGGAAAAATAAAACAGCAAATCTCTCCAAACTAAGCCACCCAAGTTAGCACTGCCCATGCGTGGCATCGCTGCTACGACCCCTGATAACGGAATCCTCTGAAACCTGCACACACCAAACTGAGCCACAGTCCACACGATACTTGACCAGCACTCTGCCCCATCCCTGTAGTGCTCCTGAAATCGTGGTGAATGTCCCCGAACACCCTGGACTCGCAGAAGAAGTGACAAGTGGAGGCCCTGCAGAGGGAAGGGGATGAGAAAGGTGTGGATCCCTGGGTGTCCAGGGAGGTAGAATCAGGACAGAAATCAGGGCCCCAGTGGGTGGACAAAGCCGGTTTCCAAAAACGGGCTGGAACCACCCAGAAGACTGCTTCGGGTGGAGGGCAAGAGGCCCAGGCCCCCAGGGACAGCAGCCAGAGGGACAGAGCTGGGTGGACAGGGAGGGAAGGAAAATGGGGCCACGGGCCATTCCCAGCCTCCTCTTTTGGTCCATTATGAAGACAGTAAAATCTTGAGGTCGTGTTCACTTGAAAAAGAACACCTGTCGAGGCCATAAAAAATAAGTGAAGACAGCAAACGTCAGAGAGGAAACTAAGCCGATATGATGACTCCGTGATGTGTGGTTGTGTCCTCTACTAGATCTTGGGACAGAACGAGCACAATATTGGAAACTCTGGTGACCGTCGTTTAGTTAACAGTATTGCACAAATATTAATCTCTCAGTTTTGGTGAATGTATGAAAAATGGTTATGTAATATACAATTCTTTTTCTAGTATCAGCAATTGAACTCAGAACCTTGCACTAGCCAGGCAGGTGCAGTGCCACTGAGCTACGTCCCTGGCCCTGTAATGTACAATGTTAGCATTACAGGAAACTAAGAGTAGAACTCTGTTGTATCTTTGCAATTCTCTGTAAATCTAAAACTATTTCACAATAAGTTAAAAACATATCTGAGTATTGAAACAAATTTTTCTCATAAGACTATTTCTATGAAGAGAAATGCATAAATTAAAAACCATGGCACAAAACTTAAAATGGTTTTATAGTATAATGCTTATTTCCTAAAAATGAATTCATGGTATGCATTCTCTTTGCCCTCAATTGATCTTTTTAGTCCAGACAAACAATAAACTATGATGGAAGGAACCAAGAAGTTACAGGAAAGTAGGATTTATTCAAATGTATAGTTTTACATACAGTTAACTACTCAGGGATTGACCTGTAAGAACTGCTGGAAGGAAGCACAGTATAATCTTACTGAGTTACTAGAATTCATATGATTATTGTATATACCTAATTCAATGGGTGATACCTGCAACTAGCATTCCCTTCCCAACTTTCTCTTTTGCTCAGCGAAGTCAAGAAAACCTTGGCTAGAGTTGAAGTAATCTCCAGCAAGGTCATTGCTGCTTTTTGGACATCCGTCTTTGCAAAGACAGAGGCTGAGTCTGCCAAAGGAATTCAGGGCTTAACTAGAATTTATGATTGCTCCAGAGCAGGTGCACCGAGCCATTTACTTTGTCCTGAATTTGATTCCTTGAAGGTAGGTTCAAAGCTCAGGAATTCTGGCAGGCACTGTACACCAACTGTACGTGTGAAGGCATCACAAACCTAGCAACTTAAAACGCTTTTACCTGAGGCACTAGGGGTGATTTTTCCAATTTCTTCTTCCAGTTTTTCTATAATATATGCATATTAAACCTATAATGTAAAATACTGTAAAATACACTTAAATCCTCATGATTCTGGATCTGAAAATGAATCACAATGCCATGTCTCAGTTCATGAGCTTAATTTGTTCTATGATTCTGAAAATGGTAGCTCTGGTCATGTTTGTCACCCGATGCAATTTGCAAACAAAAACAAAATTTTGCCAAACGCTTCTGTTTTCCAACCAAATTGTTTGCAAACAAAAGCATTTGTGAACTGAGGTGCCACTGTATATCCCAGAGGGATGGTTTGAGCTAAAATATTGAGCTAACAATATGTTCACTGTTTCCCATGCTATGACTCCTAAGAGAACAATAAGCCTGTAATTGAAGAGTTAGTTTACAAAAAGTCATATAATCTCTCTGTACTTTGTACAGTTTGGGTTTTGTTGGTTTTTCTGGAATGGAATTCAGTGATATTGTTTACTTTGAAAACCCTTAGCCAAACAAACCTTAAAAAAGTCTTCAGAAATGCATTTCCTGCCAAAAGTTGTAAAAAAGAATCCTTCTATCAGAGGTTGCCTTTTATTGTTGCAAAAAATACTCTGAGTAATTCTTCAAGTTTCTCTTACTATTTTCTCAGGATTGACTCAAAATGCAATGCAGCCACTCTTCCACAAAGAAGACATGCAGACTGGGAAGGGCTCTGGACTACCTTCAGAGCTACAGTATTTTACCTCCTAGGCAGCGAGGATATTCTGCATATGATGTAAGGTTCCACTGCTAATGTGTGTTATGCCCTCTCCGAGTTAGAATGAAAAGGAATGCATGCCCTGGTCACATGTGCAGGTGGCTTGACTGACGCACAAGCAAGAGGCGCGTCAGCTGCACCCAGGAGAGATAGCTTCCGCTCTCTAGCGCAGTGTCTGTCACGGCTGGTATTAGCTGTCCGCCACGGAAATGAGTGCCCTTGGCCCCCTGAAAGTCGGGTCAGAGCAAGGCACATGGCAAGAGAAAGGAGAAAATAGGTGAGTCATCCTGGTACTCATGTGGCCCCTGCGAGGTTTGCTTGTTCCCAGGCCCCACAGTCTGGACCAGTCTAGGCAGCTGGAAACGCAGCGCGGATGCGCCTCCCGAGCACTTTCTCCTGAAGGAAGGAGACCATCCACCCCTGCATGCCCACAGCTGGCAAAGGGGTAAAGGTATTTTCACAGTATCGCATTTCAGAAGGCTCAGCAGGGTGAACTCTGTGGAAAGAAGTTGGAATCTGTGTCCCCCTAGGAATCTGGTCAGCTAGACCTTGAGCAAATGAGTTGAACTCATTGAGCTTCAGTTTCCCCATCTATAAAACGGGGCAGTGATTTTTCCTTATAAAATAATATTGCAAACACTGTGATTAAGTTACATTAACAGACATATACGCATACTCTTACATAATATAAGCAGTATATATTATATACAAACGGCACAGAGGTGGATCAGCTCGGGTACAGACTAAGCAGATGCTGAAGGAGGAGCATGTACAAAGCAGACAGGCTGAAGGGCACCAGTGAGTGCTCTGCACACTGAGCTTCTTTGTGTGATCTCTGAGACAACTGGTGGAAGAATCTTGACTTTTATATGTATTTGGAAACACATAAAAATGGAAATATGGAGAGAAGGAATGAGTAAAATGGGGGACTCCAGAATTTAAAAAAATAGGTGAAAGTATTGTTGTTTTGTTTTGTTTGTTTGTTTTTTGGTACCGGGGATCGAACTCGGGTCCTTGCTCTTGCGAGGCAGGCAGTGGAACCACTGAGCTAAATCCCCCGCTAGTATTGTTTTTTCCAAAGGAAATGGTTGAACTATCATCTTGGTTTTTTCTCATACTTTTATAAAATGCTTCAGACCCTCTGCTGCTGCCCTGCTCCAAACGACCTGTGAACTGAGACCTGCCCTGCTCAGTGCTATGCCGTCTCTCTATCCTGCTCCCTCTGTCCATACCTAGGACCTCCCCCAGGACCCCACCTCCCACGTTGGCTGTGCCCGGCTACTTTAATGGGTCATGCTGAGGTACCTAGGAGCTGGCTCTTGATTAACAGAGCATTTCCCCTCAGAATAATTCAAGACCACATTTGTTCATTTCCCCGTGTCCTTTCAGCTAACATTTTTCCATATTGCTCAACATGTCATCAAGCTCACAAACCCTGGTGACTAACAGACTTGTCTGGCCCACTGTGTGAAAACAGACACACATAAAACTATTTTAAAAAGCAGAACATTCATCCTAAATGCACAGGCAGTAAATTTTGAAGCGTTAACGGGACTCACAGGCTTCCCACTGTTTGAGGTTTTCTGTACGGAGGTGAACTGGTGTACAGCGAAGCACACCAGGTAGGTGCTCATGGGGACAGACTTCTCAAAAGTTGTTCGAGTCCATTTGTCATCCAGTGGCTCTTTTTTCTATGGGAAACACAAGGTAATCTTTTATTTATCAAAAGATTAATCACAAGATAAATCCAAACCAAATTCTGTAGTCAGAATTCCTTTGTCAAATCTTAGGAGTAAAATTGTGGTAATGTTCAGAAGAATAAAGGAAAATTCACTTAATTTTCAGTTCTGTCAGTGACTGAGTTACACACTCTCAGACTGTGAGGGAGAAATTCCAAGCGTGGCGTCAGCTGGATAGGAGTTTGTCTTCTTCAGTAAATACATCGTCCTGATGGTGATGTTCTAGGGGTACTGTGATCCCTGCATGAAGCAAAAGCTAGCACTCAGAGAGGGAGAGCTGAGTAGATGTTAACTTGACTGTGTGCTATGTGTTCAATCACTGTATTGGAAATAAGTGAACATCAGGGTCTCTTTCCACCTCTGGCTGTCTACATCGAAGGCCCGTGGTTTGACTATCCAAGGTCATCATTACCTTGGTGACCATGGAGAGAGAAGATTCCACAGCGTGGCCCAACTACCAGGCCTTCTGGTCTTGGGTCCTCACTAGCTGTGCCAATGACGTCCTAACACTCGAACCATGGACACTTCCCCAATTCCTGAAACCACTGTTTAAACATTTCCGCATCCCTTCATAGCCACCAAGTGAGAAGCTGCAGAAGGAGACTAAGCAGGGCAGGCTGGACTAAAACCCACATATAATTAATACTGTGTGCGTGTGTGTGGGGGTGTGTGTGTGTGTGCACGTGCATATATGTGCATGCACGTGCTTGTATAAAAATGTCGGGGCTCCAGCAAAGTTATTCCACAAAGAAAACCTAGCATATCAGTTCTGATCTCCCAATGACCATGAATATTCTCCCTCTTCTGCACCTAGGGAAAAGCAAAGAAGTACGCTTCTGTGAAACTCAAAAGTCATGGTGCTCAGCAGCAGCATTCACCATATTTTTGATCATACCTTCTAAAGACACTCACTAAAGAGGTTTTCAGAACTGTTTTAGAAAGTGTCTAGAACAATGGGGTGTGTTTGAAGCAAAAAGAGTATTTTTTTTTTTCCAGTACCAGGGATTGAACTCAGGATCTTGCAAGGGAGGCACAGCGCCACTGAGCTAAATCCCTGGCCCTGCAAAGGGAGTATTTTGAGGCCTATCAATGGCAATGCCTTTTACTGTAATACATTTTTTTTTTTTTGTACCAGGGATCAAACTCGGGACCTTGTGCTTGCGAGGCAACTGTAATAAATTTTTTAAAATTTAACATTCACTATGTATTTTGATTACCTGTTGTATGTCTATTGAATTCTCTCTTGCTTAAAATCTCCAAAGTGATTTTATTGCTGGACTGAGATGTCCTCTAGGAGTTAAAGAAAAAAGTCGCAAAACTATACTCTCAATTGTAAATCAACAATTAGTGCACATTTAGTTTTAGAATTCAGGGGGACTTTTCCTGCATGGCAAATCAGGTAATTTAACTGACACTGACCAGACTATCTGCACAAATGAGACATTTAAAAATGCTCACCTCCACTGGCATATTGGAAAGTGCCTCATATTCATTCGGGTGGACGACGGATATTGTGTAAGTTGCTTTTTTGTTGGGCTCATCAAAGCAGGGGAAGGATTTCCTGGCATCTGTTGGTTCATGATCAGTGGCCGCAATGCTCCTGAGAAACAAACACAGACCTGTGCATACCACCTCCACTCACGATCGGCTTCTCTCCTACAGCAAACAATGAGCTACCTATGGAATTACAACTACCGCATTGGTTAACTCGAGCTCCCATCTAGAACACACTCAAGTAACTGGCACAGTCTCTCTTGGAACTCTAAGGTTAACAAATAAATGAAAATCTGGAGAGAGACTGCTTCCCATATTTCATCAGAATATTGAGATACTCTGGTGCTAGAACCGAAAAATCTGTTCAATGAGCAAAAATAAATCCAATTATGAACTCTGACTCTCTGCAACCCAAAGCCATTGAGCAACAAGGAGACAAACATGAAGCCAAACTCAAAGGTTTGCTTCCAGCTAGCACGGTGACAGCTGTGTCCCGTCACGGCCGGGGAAGTATCTCCCAGCATCCCCGCTCCCGTCCCTAGTGACACATTCTTTCTTGTTTGTGTTACATCAGGGACAAAACCCCGGTTCAGCTCGTGGGAGGGAGGTGCTGAGTCATCTCCCAGGTTACGTACACTGTGGCCCAGTATGAAGTCCACTCTGCGGCTGGGGAGCAGCTCGCTGGGAGACCACACGCTCAGCAAGAGCAGGGCCCTGGGTTCAATCTCCAGCATCAAAATACATTTTTTTTTAATTTTAAAAAGCTACTTTTGAAAAAAGACAGCATTTTTTATGACTCTTACTAGCCATATGCTTGTGTTTGCTAAAACATTAATGTTTAGTATTTCTACAATTTCAAAGTAAAAATACTATTTTTCTGAATAATTTGCTCAAAAAATCAATAAACATACACTTTTTACATGTAAGCATATTACAGTAAAACAACAGGGTATATTTGCTCATTGAGGAACTAAGCAAAGTAAAAGGTATAAGAAAGGAAAAGTAAAGAAATGTTGATTTATATTCATCAATAATTTATATAATGAAAATATTTTATCTTTAGGACTTTCCGGCATTAGGGAAGGTATATCGCAAAGAGTACCAAGCTGAATTACTAGATCATTCCTTCATCCCACAAATAGTGAGCTGCGTCCTTGTGCACACACGCACACACACACACACGCATGCGCACACTTGCAGACGTTATTCTAAGTGTCGAGGAAACAACAGAGACGAATCAAGCAGGTCTTCCGCATCTTAGGAGACAACAACAACAAGACAGGTGACTGATCTGGGACAGAGGAGGCAGTGACCGCGGGCGATGCAGGAAAGGGGCAGAGCGAGGTGAGGCAGCCGGCAAGGGAGCGAGCGCCTGGACTCCAAGATGTCGTGGAGCTGGGCTGACCGGAGCTGGGCTGACCGGAGCTGGGCTGACCGCACAAAGCCCGAGAGCAGGGAGATGAGGGGAAGGGGTCCAGCAGGCTCGCTGGTGAGGGGACCTGGACGTGGCTGCCGGAGGCCACCGTGTCGGGTGGTTGGAGCCCACAGAAACCCCAGACGGGCTCGGGGTTCGCGAGGCCAGGGAATAATGTGGACTGAGGAGGAATCTGCACTTGATTTTGCTTCAAGGATTTACTGTGGACACTGATTTGTCTAAGCAGTGATGTACCATAGGTCAACATCTATCTATGAGAAATAACTTCAGGGGTTTTTCCCCCAGAAACCTTCTAGATATAAAGAAAGTTACTTATTAAAAACTTGGCCAAGAAAACAAATCTACGTAAAAGAACTAAAACCAGAAAGTGCTGCCTGGAGAAGGGAAATTTCTCAAATGGGGGCAACAGAGATATGGGTATCTGTCCAAGTTCACTGAATCGTGTTCACCAGAGCTGTGTGTTTCCATGTGTATAAATCTCACCTGAAAAAGTGTAAGTCAGTAACAAACAAATATTTTTGCAGTGGCTCTGTGTTAGCCATCTGGAAACAACTCTGCTTTCTAAGCTTGGCAAATAAAAACTGAAAGTGGAAGGCAGTGCCAGGTGGTTCTCACTGCTACCCGGGGCAGTTCTGTGACAGCGAGCCACAGTGGCAGGCCTCAGTGAACTCAAGGACTGTCAATAAAGACACCCACAAAGAGACGCACATTTCCTATTTGTGTCTGGGAGCAACACTAGATGCAGGGAGGAGCTCGCGGTCAGGAGACAGTCAGTTCCAAGACGATGATTCTGAGGCGCTGTTTTCCACAGAAAGGAAGCAGGACTCCGTGGAGGAATGGCCGAGTCTCATGCTGGGTCGAGAAAGCCCAAGGTGACCCCGGGACATCTGTCTGAGCCACACAGGAAGTACGCAAGGACCATGGAAGGGGTCCAAGGTCCCAGGGCTGCTGGACAGGATCCCCACGGGCCAAACCTGGGGGAACTGGAACCACAGTAAATAACAACGGGGTTATAACCCTGAATAACATAAGACTCTGTGAACCCTTACACTCATTTTTTAAATGAATAAATAAACAGATAGAGGGGAAGGGAAAGCTCTTAGGTAAGTAGGTTATAGAGCAGTAGTTTTTGGAGTCATAGATTCAGAAAACTATCAGTGGTTGCCCAAACAGGAGATGGAGTTGGAAGAGGAAGGGATATTTGCAGATTTTCAAAGAATTTTGAGATAATTACTTATAAAAAGAAACAACTATCACTTTGTGGTGGAGAAACCTGTTGGATGCTGATTTCAGCAACCAATTAAAGGCAGCATCCCTAGGAATTAAACAAAGCCAATAAGATGTGTTTCCTGGTGTCATTTCTGGAGAGTGGCATAGGGTCGTTCCTGTGATGCTCCTGACAGACATGCTTAACTTGCAATTGTAAATCATTTAGTTTAGCCAAACTACAATTGAGGGACATTTTAAACACTGCCAGCCTGTGCTCGTCAGATATCAACATTGCTGGACATGAGGGTGCACGCCTATGATCCCATCCCTCAGGAGGCTGGGGCAGGAGAATGGCGTGAGTTCAAGACCAGCCTGAACTGCATAGCAAAACCCTGTCTCAAGAAAAAGAAAAGCTAAGGCACTGTTCCGGGTTACATGAGTATAAACAGACAAGGTGCTAAATGCAATGCATGACCTCAGGACAGATACAGGACTGAAAACACCTGATAGACGTTATTGATTAATGAATGAAATCTAACTATGGGCCACGGGTTATACACAAAATCGTATGAACGTTAGACTTCCTGGTTTTAATAACTATACTGTGGTTATGCTAGAAAATTCCCCTGCCCTTAAGAACTCTGCCCTGAGGCTAAGAAGTGAAGGGAAACAATGTCTCCATGCACTTTCTAAGGGAGAGAGAGAGAAGGGGGAAGAGTGGAGGGCGGAAGGAGGAAGGGAGAGGAAGAAGTAAAGCAAACATTGCGGGTAATTGGCGAGTCTGGCAAATTCTCTCTAGAAGCCTCACACACTCTCCTCGTAACTTTTGTGTAAGTTGTAAACTGTGTCCAAATAAAAACTTGTCCAAGAAAAGCCTCAGCCAAGAACGAATTCTGCAATAGAGTAACCGCCAATCAGCTCAGCACGGAGAAGGCCCTGACACCTTGCAGGCGCAACTCAGCCGTCAACACTGTGCCACAAAGGGATGTGCGCTGCACAGCTCCCGGGGTCCTGGGGTTTCATACTATGCCCCACCAAGCTCCGGCTCCATGCTTAAGCAGCTGTCTTTCTTCCTCTGAATTCTCCTGGTTTCTGAGGCAGAGGAAGGGATAATTTCACCCCCTAGAAACATGTCACCCCGCAGAAATGAGCCAGCTAACAAAGCTGGGAGTGAGGCAGAGCGTAAGGAGGCAGCAGAAGTTCCCTTCCTAAGCAATAGCTGCCGTGGTGCTGGCTTTAAACACTGCCTCACTCTCTCTCAGATGCTAGAACATAAACTCCTGAGACCCACGAGCGGGCTTTTCCACCCTTTGCGTTCTCGGCTGTGGACCAACACTGCCCCGCAGAGATAGAGCTTTCCCGATCTGTCTGTGGCCAGAGCAGCAGCGCTGCAGACCTCGCTGTGGGCCTTGGCTGTCTTGGTCCTCACCTGAGAATGAGAATCACCTCAGATCCCACAGTTCTGCCACTCTGCCGGGCAGGTCAGGGGCGTCACCCCCACCGTGCTGCAGAGTGTCTTTTCTCTGTTAGAGTGCACAGCCATGAGATTTAGAGGGAAACTCTTCTAAGAATGAAAGCTCTTCGATTCTAATCCTACTCTGACCCCTTGTGAATGACCCTGAGCACATCCAGAACCTTTCTTTTAGTGTCACCAGGTGAATCCAGCCTCTTCCCAGGTGAGGGGATGAAGCAGGGTGATCACACGGGATGTCTGAAATCCCCCCGACGTTTACCTGCTGAGGGGCCCTTTACTCTATGTCCTGTAACCTAGAAGCCTAAGTATGCTTTTGGACATAGCACTTTCCACAACCTACAGCATTTAAAATTCACTCACCTGACTAGAATATATAGGAGAACAAAATCACTTTGTGTATAAATACATAGGCAGTGGAACCATTTTTCAGAATGGCCAGCTGTTATTTTCCTCATGGACTACTGAATAACCCAGAAGCCTCGAATTATGTATGTCAATTCTGTCAAGAGTAAACTGTTGTATATTATCTATAAATGATAAATTTTTGAATTATTCAGCAACATTTGTAAGTTGTTATAAATACTTGCACTTTATTATTTACAAATTATAAATGTTTCTAAACATTATGCAAACTTGAAAGCCAGGTATATGGGATAGCTCTAGGGATAGACTTCAGATCATAGCTTCTCTGTAGAGGTTTTATTCACTGATTAAAATTTCTTCTTTTTAAAATCTGATGACTTGTGTGGCAAATGGATGGGAAAAGCCCGAGTAGCGGCAGAAAGTTTGCAGAAGCAGCTCCTGGTGTCCTGAATAGTGGTGCTGGTGCAGGGGTGGGAATGAAACACTCCCTCAGGCATCTCTGGCCCTGTTAAGTCCCTCGCTGGACGTAGCACCCTAAACCACGAATTCACCAAAGGTCCACGGACTTCCCCGAGTGGCCAAGGTGACCCTAGAGGAGGCGACAACACAGAACACATCCAGTTGC